AAGGAGAGACCAGACAGAGTACGAGACATAATATTGTAATACAACAGTTAAACAGATAAAATTAACACACAAAAAAATCCATGGTGAGCAAAAGATCTCAGTTTTACATAAAGATAGGATGAGTGGAGGCGCATCACGCCTCCGACTGGGCGTCCAGGCAGCAACGAAGAGCTTTGCAAACTGATCAGAAACACTAGGTGATCTAACCACAGTTAGAGTGAGGTGTGCACTGTGTCCCGGGTTGGATGTCTCAGCTAGGGTTGGCTTCCCCTTCAGAGGAAGATGCAGGGAACACTGAGGTCATAACAAGGAACAATAAAAAGACAAAGTATTATATTAAGATAGTAGGCCCTCTGGTGAGCTGGACCTCCCGGCACTGGGACAAGATGACCATGTCTTGCTGGAGAAGTTTCCATATCCACCTTCCATGCAGAGCCTGGGGCACAAAAGCCTGGCTTCAATTTGTAAAAATTATGCCACGTCTGTGAAGTGCAATAAAGTGAAGTGTAATTAAACAAGTTTTGCCTGTATAAGTGGGAGTGAGACAGACATCTGAATTCATGGAACTTCATCCTGGTAATATGTTCCACTGTTTCTGGGTGAATAATCCTTAAATGATGAAAATTAAGCTTGTGTCTGTGTGTTATCTCGGGTCTTAACTATATTAGGCCTACAAATTGTTACATTTCTATCTCCTTTAGATGTTAAAAAAAAAAAAAACTAGCTTGAAAAGATCAATTTAATTTACTACTTTGTCGCAAAGTCTGAAATCATTTCATGCAGCAATATACCACTCTCAGTTGGTCAGTGACTTCAATCTCTTCATAACTGTAGAAACTTCACTTTATTTCATCAGTAATTCAGTGCATAGGATTAAAAACATCATAAAAACATCATCCAGACATTGGTCAGACATATGGGCATTCTATGCACTCCAAATCAGCCCAGTGATCCACATGAAAACAAGGTTTTACACTCGTGTCTGAAAGTCTAATGTCAGTTAAGAAGTCACAATGCCTGCAAGAAAGAAGTCAATGTAATAACACAGAAGAACTTGTCCGTAAAGCTTAACATCGAGCCACTTTGAAAGAAAAATCAGGCAGGTGAGAGGTGCTTCTGTGCTTAGCAGAGACCATGCCCATAGGGATGTATAGGAGTGTATAATGACAAATAAATAGACAAATACAAGGCTGTGCAGGGCAATGAGAGAAGAACAAATGTTAAGAAGCCTTATCTCTGTCTTGTAGGCAATGAGGGGCCATTGAATGTTTTAATGGAAGAAGCATCCTGATTAGATTTTGGTATAGAAATACAGCTCTAGAAGCTGACTAGGTTTCGGAGTCAAAGAAGACAATGAGAAAGGTGTTCTAATAATCTGGTTAACATGATGAAACTATGACCTGAGGATGTGGGAGTGTAAGAAGAAGATGACAGGAAGTATTAGGGAAATCTTAAGGAGACAGGGTTGAAAGGTTTGTGATGGATCACATATAGGCTTTCAAGGAGAGTGCAAGATAGAGATGTCTGGGGGATATAATCATCAAAAAAAAAAAAAAAGAAAAAAGAAAAAGGAACATCACAATTACACAAAATTGTTTTAGAGAATCTAGATAATATACTAAGAAATCTCAAATAATTGCCTTATATACCAGAGAACAGGAAACATATTAACTCTATTTATGGATGACATTTTATATCCAGAAAAGGAAAACAAAAAACAAAAACCAGAAACTAATAAATATTATTAGAATGGAGAAAAAGGCAGTCTCATACACTGTTGATTGTACTGTAAATTGGTGCAACCACTATGGAGAACAGTATGGAGGTTCCTCAAAAAACTAAACATATAGCTACCATAGGACTCAGAAATTCTACTCCTGGGTATATATCCAAAAAACAAACAAACAAACAAATACAAACCCAAAACATTAATTTGAAAATATACATGCACCCCAATGTTCATAACAGCATTATTTATAGTTGCCAAGACATGGAAGCAACTTAAGGGTCCATCAACAGATGAATGAATAAAGATGATGTGGTATATATGTATACAATGGAATATTACTCAGCCATAAAAAATAATGAAATTTTGCCTTTTGCAACAAGTCTGATGGACTTGAAGGGCATTATGCTAAGTGAAATAAGTCAGACAGAGAAAGACAAATACTGTATGATACCACTTATATGTGGAATCTCAAAAATAAAACAAACTAGTGAATATAGAAAACTGAAGCAGACTCACAGATATAGAGAACAAACTAGTGGTTACCAGTGGGGAGAAGGAAGGGGGCAGGAACAACATAATAGGTGAGGGATTAAGAGGCACAAACTGTTATGTATAAAATATATAATCCACAAAGATATATACTACAACCCAGAGAATATAGCCAATAGTTTATAATAATTATAAATGGAGTATAAACTTTAAAAAATTGTGAATCATTACTTTGTACACCTGTAATTTATATAATATCATACATCAACTGTACCTCAATAAAAACAAATAGGCCCAGAAAAAATAAAATAAAATAAATTACTAGAACATATAATAACATTTGGTAAGGTGGCTGGATACAAGCTAAATATACAAAACCATGGTTTTCTTCTATACTTTCAATAATTAGAAATGAAAATGAGTACGAATTATTCCATTTTGCCAAGCTAACGAGAACTATAAAATATCTCGGAATATGCTTAATAAGAAAGATAAAAGATCTGGGGCTTCCCTGGTGGCACAGTGGTTGAGAGTCCGCCTGCTGATGCAGGGGACCCTGGTTTGTGCCCCGGTCTGGGAAGATCCCGTATGTCACGGAGCGGCTGGGCCCATGAGCCATGGCCGCTGAGCCTGTGCATCCGGAGCCTGAGCTCCGCAACGGGAGAGGCCACAACAGTGAGAGGCCCGCGTACCGCAAAAAAAAAAAAAAAAAAAAAAAAATCTGTATATAAATTCTATTAAAGAACATAAAACAGGTCAGGTAGGCATTAGCTACAAATATTTTCTTGGGTAGGAAAACTTAAAATCATAAAAGTATTAATTCTTCCCAAATAATATACACATATGATGCACTTTTATTCAGAAGAAAACTTTATTTTGAACTAAATAAAATGGCTTGAGAGGCCAGGTATAAGGCAGAGACAATCCTGCTCACAAAATTCCACATTCTACATGCGTATCACAATCTGCTCTAGTCTTAGGTTGAAAGCACATGACTGACCTGACCAACAGACTATGCTTGAGAATTAATGTGTTTTTTTTATTCACTTTTCTTTTGCAAAGACAAATTCAGAAGCTGCACTTTGAAATGGCAGTGCCACGAGTGCCACAAGGAGTACCTGCATCCTCGGTCCTCAATAGGAGAAAAGCTGCACTAACCCACCCCTCCTTGGGAGTTTGCAAGAGACACACCTGTGTTGAGTTAAGCATTAAAACGTCAAGGTTAATTGTTTCTTCTTTGCCTAGCTGAAATCTAACTGAAACAATATGGAAAAGTAATATTTTAGAATAGACTGTAGAATTTTAAATATCAGAATAGTGATGAAGTACTTGACTTAATCTATTTTAAAATGTACATAAAGCCATTAACATAAGAAGCAGTATTACACTGACATGACGGAAGTCCATAATAGTAGGTCTATATAGAAAGTAAGTGTGTACAGAAACAATGGATGACAAAAGAGCTGTTTCAACTCAGGATGGTGACACGGGGGTACTTAGTAAATGGTGTTGACATAATTAGCTGTCCATTTAGAAGAAAACAAAACTAAATGTCTACTTATACCATAGTCAAACAAAATCTTTAAAAATACACGAATATTTTGACAATCGTTTGGGAGATATTTGTGTTATTGATAAAGAACCATAAATTAAAGAGAGACCTATCTGACCGCATTTTTTTTTAAATGGTAAAAAATAACAAATAGAGACAAACCATGTACTGAAAAAACTATTTGCAACATATACAAATAACAAAGCATATATATCACCAGGATTTTACAAATTGAAAAGAAAAAGACAAAAATCTTTTATGGAGCCTTGAGTCATAGAAAAGGCAATCCAAATGGCCAGTACACATATGAAAAGAAGCTGAACCCCATTGTCAGAGAAATGCAAATTAAGATAGCTGTGAGAAAGCTTTTTTTTTAAACACCACCAGTATAGCAAAATTTTTAAAGTTCAACAGGAGCTGGTATGTATGGGGGTACTTGAAAATAGTCATTTTCATAAATTACTGGTAGGAATTTGAATTGCTACAGCCTGTTAGAGTCATTTATTAAATAAAGATGTGCATACTCTTTTTTTCTTTTTTTTTTTTTTTTGGTAACATAAAATACAGAAATGTAAAAAGCAGTAATATGTAAGAATACCTGAACAAGAATATTGTGTTGTGTATGTTGGCAAGAGAAAAAAAAATCAGGACCAATAAGAATATTATCACACTATTAGCAAGAATGAGTTGTATAGCTCTTGACGGGGAGAATGTCCATGATGCTGTATTAAGTGAGACAACTCAATTACAGTGTAAGGAATTTGGTATGATCTTTTTCTGAAAAGCTAAGTGGCAACACCATAACCCTCTCTGTGTGTACTGCCAAGTTTATATAACCTCTCGACCACACCAAGCTAAGGACAGCTACCACCAGCGTTAATGGGTTAACCTCCAAAACAGATTCATGGGTAGAAGAGGAAAGATACTTCTCTTTAAAAATTACCTCTCTGTACTTTTTCCCCCCACTACTAATAATGAGTATATATTGTTTTTTTTAGACTAATAAATAAGATTTGACAAGAAAAAGCATTGAGGATACAGAAAGTCCATCAGGTTTGAAGGTCTGGGGACTCAGGGACAAAGGGTACAGTCCCTTATCTGTCATCCTTAGAAACCTCAGGAAGAAGACCTGAAAGACAGGTTTGACCTGATGGACAGGCTGGTGCTCTGGAGACACAGGTGTGTCTCAGTTGAAGCAGAAGGAAGACACTCAAGATGAATGCCACCAAAATGTGCAGGTATTGGTGTGTATTGATGTTCTGCTAGGTGTCGAGGGCACATCTCCAGGTGAGCTCCAGGCGGGATTCTGAGGATTGGTAAATGGAGGAAATATCATGGTCGCTCTCTGCAACTTTATACTTACCGTAAGTAGGAAGAACTGAGTTTTATTGTTTTGTTTTGTTTTTTGTGGTATGCGGGCCTCTCACTGCTGTGGTCTCTCCCGTTGCGGAGCACAGGCTCCAGACACGCAGGCTCAGTGGCCATGGCTCACGGGCCCAGCCGCTCCGCGGCATGTGGGATCATCCCGGACCGGGGCACGAACCCGCGTCCCCTGCATCGGCAGGCGAACCCCCAACCACCGCGCCACCAGGGAAGCCCCAGAACTGACTATTTTTTATGTAATTGAGTAAAAGATAACATCCAGTTAAAGTCTAAAAGATTAGCCATTCTGACAATGGTGTGATTACCGTGGTTCTCTTAGGTACATCTGACACTTTGTCCCCTGAGAGACTCGTAGTGGGGCAGCCCGACCTTACCGAAAGAACCAGGGATACCTATAACCGTGGATTCACCCTTACTAGCTGTTCACCACTGTAAGCTCAGTCTTCTCATCTGTAAACACCTTCAGACCTTGTATGTATTAGAAATAACAGTTACAATATTCCTAATAAATGGTAAGTGCTCAGTTTACACTGGTGTTCTTTTTGTAAGAGATATTTTCTTGGTAGTTAAATTTTGGGGGGGGGAGCACAAATTAAAGGAATGGAAATTATAAATTATAATTAAATTAAAATTATAATTAAATTATAATTTAAATTATAAATTATATTTCTTTAGCTTTCAAAATAAAGAAAAACTGCTTTTTTCATAGGTTATTATAGAATGCATACATTTGAAATTACTGAGCTCTTCCCACATCACCTTGTTGTAATGTTAATGATGATGACGGTGATAATATCAACAATAATTTTGATAAAAGAATTCTAAACATCAGATAGGTGTAGCCTACTATTGTTATATATTTAACTTAATCACACCGTGAATAGAATATATTGATATCTGGAATTATTACAACATCCTATGAAAAGGTGATAGAAGTTTGAGGGAGGAAAAACAAAGATACGGCCCTTGCAGACAATGATTTAAAGATCTCAGGTTGAAGAAAGACTTGTCTGGTTTGTTTTCTATAAACCCAACACAAACATAGCAAAGCAAGGAGCCCTTGTGAATTGATATCCAGTAAAATAATTGCTGAGATGATTTTTAGGAAATCTTAACTTGCTATGAAATGACAAATAAATTTTCCAACTTTACTAATCATTTTTAAGGTCTAAATATGTGAATAAATGCAAAATACATCTGCGGTGATGCTGTCACTTTATCCAACAGTGTCAATTTGCTGCAATATGCCAAGATCAGATTTATATACGTTGTAAACTAGAACAGTTAAACCCCAGAAGTATCCACACTCCTATCAAGTGTCTCCTCACATCCGAGTGTTAATGAGCTCAATTAGAACCTGGCTCCCCAGCATCTGTGAAAGGGATACAGACATGAAACAGAGGGTTGCAAAGCAGAGCTTAACAGAAGCTGAGTTTAAAGCAAAGGTAGTTAGTCCTATCTCTGGCTTTGTTTTACTCTCATAAAGAGCTCCAGGGGCATCTTGGAGTAAAGGCCCTATCTTGTTCCTGCTTCAGGCTTTCCTGAGTGTTGGAAAGATAGGAAGTTAAGACAACGGTGGTTCGCAAAGAAGTTTTGAGCTGATAGCGGCAGGTCAGCACTTCCCCAAGTGTGTTCCAGAAAACTGGCTTGTGGGAGGTTATTCTGAAGTTTAAAACAACAGCGACAACAATAACAGTTTAATGCCCATTATGTCGTGGAATTCTAGTTTAAAGAATTCTAGTTTAAATTCTAGTAAAAATGCAGGGTTTTTGTTGGATTTGGGTATTTTTCTTTTTTATTCTTTCTTCCTTCCTCCCTCCTCCCTCTTCTCACCGTTCCTGTCTCTCTCTCTCTCTTTCTTTCTGTAATGTTTTTTCAGAGTTATTATTACTTTTTTGGATCTCCATGACGTGAATCGTATGTCGGGGAGAGCAAGTAGATTTTGAAGTAGTTCCCAAAGTTATTGAATCATTAAGGTCTTTTTTCTTAAGACATTTCACAAAACAGGCAAACCTTGGATGTACTTTGGGGATCACGGCTGTCGTTGCTTAATTCCCATCCTGGAAGAGAAATGTCACAAGGGTGAAATGTCACCAGTTTGCCTTTGCCGATTTAGAATGCTATAAAAGCAGACCTGACCAAGGATTGTGTTGTCGGTGCCTTATGCATGGAGAAAGGGTTTGGTAAGCAAATTAATAAAGTGAACTAGAGTTTTCCATACTGCGTTCTGAGATATTAATAGGTATTCCATGAAAAAAGATTTCACGGGCAAATAAGTTCAGGAATCCCTGTGTGCATCTATCCTGGGAGACCAATGATGCATATATACACAGCAAGGACTCAGGAGAGATCTCAGGGACCCATCTGACTGTTCACTCCAGGATTCCCTGAGAGCAGTGAGCAATGGAGCCATCCCTGAAGCCCTCTTTCCTTCTTTCCAGAAAAGTAATCTGCTATAATCTGGGAAGTGCTGTTATAAATAAGGCCAAGTAATCTCTCTATAACCATCATATGAAAATTGTTGAGCCGTCACAGGCTCAAAATGGAAAGGAGAGGAAGGAAGGGACAGAGGAGGGAAAGAGTTGTTGTGGGGAGGAGTTGCTCATCCCTGGTCTCTTATGTCAGGGACTTGGCGTGTCTTTCAAGGGGGTATGAAACCTTCCTTGTCGTCCAGTGTGGAGACCCTCAGGCCTTCACTGCTCCTCTGCCCTGGAGGCCCCAAGCCACTTCCAGATCCAGGTGTGCAACCACACAGGCGAAATAAACAGGTCACCCAGCAGTTTCAAGCATTAATCACTTGCTTATATATTGTTATCAATTGTGCACCATTCTAATCTGTCAAAGGAAACTTCCTCTACCTGGAGATGTTTTATCAGCTTACTGTATCCATTTCAGAGAAGAGGCAGCTTTGAGGAGGCTGGCTTATGATTCAGGTCTTTGCTTGTTCAGATTGGTCTTTGTAGGTCCTGTTCGCCCACGTTTGTCAAGCTGGTCACCTCCCACCATCCGCATGTTGGGTGACGTTTAGGATCCTGATTGAGAACGCCTGAAGGTTGTCAAGGTGCAATAACTCATGTCCGGGTTTCCTATAATATGTTAATAACAGTGAAAAACACTGTCAGAATTTAATTGAGTCCTTGCAAATATACACAAACTCTTGCTCTGTAGTGGAAGATTAGCTCTCTTGACAGTGATTTTTGGAAGTCTGTGTGTTTCCCAAAGTTTAACTTAGGCACCAGAGTGAAACTTTAAGCATCTCTACTCTTTGTATTTCCCAATAAAGACTGGCAACTGAACACAGCATTGTAAATCAATTATACGCCAATAATTTTTTTTTTAAAAAGGGAGTAGAATTCTGACACATGCTACAACATGGCTGAAACTTGAAGACATGCTGACTGAAATAAGCAGACACAAAAGGACAAATACTATGAGGTATTATATGAGGTACCTAAAATAGGGAAACTCATAGAGACAAAAAGTAAATAGTGGTTGCCAGGGTCTGGGTGTGCAGGAGGAATGGGGGCCTTTTGTTTAACCGATATAGAGTTTAAGGTTAAGAAGAGGAAGAAGTTCCAGAGAAGGATGGAGGTGATGGTTACACAACAATGTGAACGTGCTTAATGTCACCAAATGACACACCTAAAAATGAATAAAATGGTAGATGTGTTATGTATATTTTGCTACAATAAAAATAAATAAATAGATTTTTAAGTGGATTGACATAAAAAAAAAAAAAAAAAGACTGGCAACTGATTGCCCTATTCAACTAGGTACTTTAGGCAAGTAATTCAGATGTGCTCCTTGCAAGCAGGTAGCACTGCACTGGTGACCAGCATGCCTGCAAATTAACCACTTACACTTTACAAATAGACAAACATACAGCAGCCGCAGCTCTCCAAATCATGATTGTATAAAACTTGTCGTTCCCTGCCTTCTCACCCAGCCTCTTTACAGTTTTAAATGATTAACACCGACTTGCTTATCCCCCCGCCATCCGTTTAATAACTCAGCCTGTGCGCTGGCCATGGATAAAGTGATCTTCATCGTGGAGATCAAAGAATTAATCAAGCGAAACAGTAAAGAATGATTTCAGAAATCTTTTGAAAGAGATAAATAACTCAAAGTGATGAATTATTGAATCTTTGGGGTATATTTATTTGTCAGGCAGTCAAAATTTACCATTTTAAACCTCATTCCATTTTTCTTTCATATTAGCTGGTTGTCTTCAAGGTGACGTATAACCACCCAAACTGAATATGCAATCAACTTGTGCCGTAATATGAGAAAACTTGATAAATCTATTCTATTAGGTTTAAAAACAAACCCTCATAGTGTTAAATCTGAGAAAAAGCCCAAATGATCTATAACGAATGGGGAAAATCTGGCTTCATCCTGACCCAAAGTATTCTAAATAGCTTTATGATTGAATCATATACCAATAGAGGAAGCATTTAGACCCTTTGACTTCGAACTCCTACTGAAAGGAAGGACTCTTCTTTTCAACATTCCTAAGAGATGTTCTTCCAACCACTTACTGACTATTGTGTTACTAAGAGCTCTACTGAGCAGACCATCGTTGAATTGAGCTCATGCCTTGTCCACTGTAACTTGACCTGTTGGAGGGTCCAAGCTCAGTCTCTACAATGACCAAGACTGTTCTCTAATGTCTCTTTCATAGGAAACCTTTCAAATACTTTAATGCCCCAGCTAGGTATTCTACCTCTTCATTTAATTATCTCTAGTATCTTCAACTATTACTCATGTTGTGTTGTCAAAGACCTTTGCCGTTTGCCAGTTCCCCCTGGGATTTTCCTCCTCATTATTATTTTTTTCTTAAATGTGGCTTCCCAAACTGGATACACTACTCCAGGTGTAAAATGACCAGCACAGAGCATAAAAAGAAAACAGTCAAGGAATTCACAGAATACCTCTCACTTGTCTTTTTGTTGATACTGTACTGGAAGCAAAGATTAACCTGGAGAGTAAGGATAAATCCATGGCTCCACAAAAAACAGTTGACAGCAGGCTTATAATGTGTGCCTGTGACATCAGTCTGGAACAGAGGGTTAAGTTTCCCAGAAACAGAAGGAAAGTAAACATAAATGGACACCTCTCTTTCTGGGTCTAATTGAGACATATTTTCTTTGACTCAACCATTAATATCCAAATTCCTTGCCACCATAACCCATTTGCACACATAAACAGAATCTGTGAATGACTCCAGGCAAGCACTATATGCCTCAAGATGAAAACAAAAAAGCTGCAAAACATAGCAAGTTCACTCTCTTCTGAAAGCCTGTTTAGAGACCATATTCATTAATGAGTCAACGTGATGGAATCAGGACTTGTGAATGTGAGAATAACGAGCATATTTCAGGGAGTGGGGGGATGGGTTGATTATCCACCAGGTTCAACTACTGCGGCTAGTGGAATTCCCAGTGTCATTTTTTGATGAAAGAAGGTATACTGGTGAATAACGGGTTGATTTTTGCTTCAAATGGTTGACCAGCTGTTAGATCTTCCCAGACAAATTTCTGAGATTGTATGGTCTTGTTAATCATTTTTACTGAACTATCGCAGGAGAACACAATTAGGAAATTTTGAGAGTGATCATACCTCTTTAAAAAATGTATCCTTCATCTAAATTAATCTTCAGAACCACGCAGGGCTCCATCATTTTTTTAAAATTTAATTTAATTTATTTTTTATACAGCAGGTTCTTATTAGTGATCTATTTTATACATATTAGTGTATATATGTCAATCCCAATCTCCCAATTCATCACACCACCAACCCACCCCCACTCCGCCACTTTCCCCCCTTGGTGTCCATACATTTGTTCTCTACATCTGTGTCTCAGGGCTCCATCTTAAAGTAATATTTCGTTGGCAGTTTAACACCCAAATCCCCAGATACGTGAAACTAGGCATTTCATTTTTTATTCACGGAAACAAAATGAGATTGGAATAATTGCCCAAATTCCTTTCTCCAAATTGCAAATTATTTTGAGTTTTTTTTAAACAAAAGTGTTTTGTTTACCTAATGAATCACTGAAACACTTTGTATATTTGTTTGGAGGTTGTGTAACGCTGGCCAGATACTAAGTCATAAAACACTTCAACTGCTTCCTCACTGAGCCCTTTCCAAGGAGATCGGCTCCATAACCAACCCTCTCCCTGAGACCCATTTTCAGAAGGAGCTCATGAGAATGTGGCTAAGGCTTGGTTCACGTGGAGGCTTCAGTATATCAACCTTGTCCAAATGCCTTGCAAGTGAAAAGTACACAGCATTTCTCACCAAAAACAGTCTTTCCTGCCTGAGACCTGCACCCAGATCCTTGTTTTAAATGTCTCTTGGGGTGAAGACATTCTAACCTAACAAAGAAAAAAGAAAAAAAGAAAACAACTGGGTGAAGGATTTAGGAATCACGTTCTTTACCTGCTAAGAGATAAGGAACAAGCTTACTATTTTTGGTTATATACGTGAAAATGTATATCCAAAGTTATATCATCAATTTGAAGTTCGAACTTAACAAATATTATCCCTGTCTCCCTTCTTCAAATCTGAAAGCATATTTATGTGAAAGTCCCATTTGTAGCAAAATCCTTTGGACAAAGGTTGCCATTGCCCCCGTCACTATAAGACAAACGTTATGGCTCAGTGGACGCCCCATGATGTGCCTGTAGGGCCACGTCTTCATATTAAAAAAAAAAAAGTTTCACGCACGCACACACACACACACGCATGCACACACACACCAGCCCTGCCTTTCACTCTAGTCTATGTAGACCCTTCAGCCTGCAAGCGGAGGCCCTACCCACTCCCCAATCAGGCAACGACTCCCCTGTCTGACTAGGAGAGGCCAGGGGCCTTGCCCACTTACACTTGTCTGTCAGCTGGGTTGACAGCATGGGAGGGGGACTCCCCCACCTTTCCCTGCCCATCAGCTCTGCTGACAGGTGCAGGCAGGCAAGGCACTCCCCCCTCCACCCCATTCATGCCCATCAGCACATCTGATGGACACAGGCGGGTAGGGGAAGTCTCCAGAGCCTCTCAACCAAGGGGGCAGGCGCATCTCTATCCTGGGTGGGCACGGGCTCGAGCCGTCTTACAGTCTCGTTGACGGGTGAGGGCGGCCCGAGTTCCAGCTGTCCTGGCGTCTGACAGGGAGTTACTGTTTACCCACACTGATTCACAGTCACGCCTCTGGCTGACCGTGGATCCTGCCTGGGTCCTCTCGGATGGGCATTTAGACAGGCATACAAAAGCACAAGGGGGCAGAGGCTGGAGAGAGCAGAGGGCTAGGGAGGGAGGAGGGGCCTGCGTGGTGGGCAACTGGATGGGTCACAGTAGAGCATCCAAGACAGGAAATGGGGCCAACGTACTTCAGTTGGGTTGGTCACTGACCAAACACTTGGATTGCAAAAGGAAAATCCTCACTGGATTGAAGAACACAATGGTTTTCCTTATATAGTTTTGATAACAAAGACACCTTAGCAATTCAGAGGCCACACAGGGACTAAATGCATGGCGGGATCACCCTGCTCATTCAAGTAAGCCTTTATTGAACACGTACTACGTGCTTGGCCCTGAACGATCCTTCACACTCCATCACAGAGCCCGCACACTCCCTGGGACACTGGTGTCTTCTCGTGAAGACCCTGGAAGGACCAGCCAGAAAGATTCATGATGGGCCACCAGGCTTCTCCTGCTGCCTGAGGTGTGAGTCTCTTTGATGATCTGTTCTTACATGGTAATAAGACCATACAGAAATTTAATAGAATCATTCATAATTTATGACATTAAACAAGAAACAGCTTTATTTTATTAGTCTTTAAAACCAGTGTGGTTGCTTATATTAGCCCGGGCTACAGGCACAATTTGACTACAGTCGACTGATTCAAAGACTGGAAATATCCCTAAATACCAAGTTTCAAAAAAAAAAGGAAAAAACCCAACAAAATGAAACCCCAAGTCAAACAAAAAAATCATGTTTTTATAGGCTAAAGAACCCGTTTCTTTTAGTAAGTTTCCTTTCAACATCTCACTTCAATTTTCAGATTTTAACCTCAGATTTCAATTAATTGGACAAGGAACTTTCAATGCAAGGGTTCAGTGAAGAAAATATTCTTAACACACACAGAGATGCCTCAGCCTTAACCCAGCAGGAAAATGATGCTCTCACAACCCCAGGAGAGTGTGTAACTAAGGCAGCATGAGAAAGGGTGGCAGAGGGGATGCACAGGGTGGTGGCCTTCTGCAAAGTCGGTCCACACGAGCAAGTTCAGTGTGATTTCTACAGGCAACAACTTTCCCTTCAAAATACCCAAGTGCTTTGAGTCTTTCCTTTGCTGAATTCCAGAGCGGGCTGGCCGGACGCATAGGTCTCCACTCAGAGGAGGGCAGCTCAGACTCCAGCCAAAGTCAACATCTTAGCTGGTCACTGTGACTGCCTGTCACCCCGCGCGTCTACAGCCCGCAGTGCCCGCCTCCGCTCCTGTGTTCTCCGCATTGACCCCGCCACTCACTGAGCAGAACTCCAGGGGAGGCTCAGACACAAAGTCATCCCAGAGCCCATTTATTTTTTAGCTGAACATAACAGAGCCCTTTCCGGGGAGCTGCCTGCACAGAATGTGCTTGCTAAGAAGCTTTTCTGAAGAAATGCACCTGGCGTGGATTTTGATGGCCACTCAGCAGAAATAGATGTAGTTTGCTGAGGCTACAGACATCTAGATTGAGAAGAGAATCCATGAGTGACAATGTGTAGCTTTCAGAACATTCAGCTCAAAAATATACCAGTTGGGTATAAAGAGGTTAAAAACTATGGACCCAAACTTTGCGCTATGAAAGCACCCTTGGCGTTTCCTCCACACACAGGAGTGAGCAGAGAGCCAGACTGTTCAGCTCTTGAACGTAAGTGTTTTCTTCTTTTTCTTGTGTTGCTGACTTAGATAAGACCGGGATGAACTACATGGGATTAGATCGGGCTTGTTGAGGGCTGGGAGCAGGTTGCCCGCTGCACGCAGCCCACCCCTTCCTCTGGGCAAGCGCTACCTTTGAATACACGTGTTCTTCCTTGAAGGATAAATGGCACTTTAAGGGTTGAAGTATAGAACCAGTTATCAATTATTTACATCTGTGGTCTAATTTATTTCATCAGATCCATTTAATCATATTGTAGCTCATTGACCCAGACAAGAGTTTTGCAAAATCATTTGATTGTGTCCCTACCTCAGGGGAGAAAAAGCACGTCTACCCTGATATTTGAGATGAGAAAAATGAGACTCAAAAAGGGAAAGTTTCTGCACGAAATTGCATAACTATACACAGGAACAGGGAGAAAAACCAGGTCTCTGCCTCCGGTGCATCTGACAGAGGAGTGGATGGCAGACAGCGAGGGGTCAGCAGAGGCTGGGCAGGCCTGGTGGGGACCCGCGGCTGGAGGAGAGGCTGGGGAGACACACCCTATGTCTTTAAACAATTAATAGTTCCAAGTTAAACACAGAACACTATGGCTACTTTAAAAAAAACAAAAAAGAAATAGGAGAGAGAAAGACTTTTCAGGGTCTATTTCTAAAAGTTAACTCAATTTTTAAACTCCTATTGTTAGATTTCTATGTAGCGTTGACAGTTGTAAGCTTCTCAGTATGCAGAATGAATTTTAGCCATCCCAGGTATGTTGCCACCTAAAATTTTTACTTTTAAAATCTTCATAAATCATTGTGATTCCATCCGGTAAGACTGCTTTGGAAATGGGCAACATTTCTGAATTGAATCCAAACCATCATTTATCTTCAAATAACACAACCTATAAACGTCCTTCTACTTTTGTTGTGAGTCTAAGGTTTCCATCCATTCTCCTTGTGGACTGTTGGAATTTTCAATTTACATCAAAATGGCCTGAGATCCGTAGCGCTGGCTGTCTTGCTCACATCAAAGCTCTGTTTCAGTTCAATCCTGGCTGGGTTAAGTCTTTCATACTCTATTTAATAGTCAATTTTTGCAAAAAAAAGATAAAGCAGGCTTATACTCATATGGTTTAAATGTCTCTAAATGAAAATTGAAAGTAGATTCATAAGAACCTCTACCTATAACTCTTTCGTGGAGCCAGTTGGCAGAAGATAGTAATAGATTTGCTGCTGTGGAAGCTCCCAGTGAGGAATTACCAAAATTTAGAGACCATTGTATGTAAGGATTCCTAAATTCATACGTGTGCCCAGCTCTGAATAACTGACATGATCCCAGTTCTTCCCATGAGGTGCATATAAAAATAAAAGGTAGGACCCAGGGTGCATTTGGGGAAACACACCATTCTGTGGAGTGTCAGTACATTCTTACATCAGAAAGTGTTCTGTTGTCAAAGAAGATTGAGAAAAGGGTAGCTTAACAAAGCTCCTTAGCGTGACTTACTACAGGAATTCTCGCCTCAGCACCGTGGCCCCTGCTGTGAATCTCCAGGAGGGAAATAATTGCATGTTGCATTTCCCAAACGTAGTTAGCCACGGATTCTCTGTGCCCCAGAATGTCTCATGAGTTCTAGAGTTTGTGCCTTCATAAAAGGCTGTGTTTCATTTTATTCCAGGTTTAAAGGAACCTGGATCAATATATGAAGAGAGAAAGAAAAACCTCTCACTGAACAACTACTAGTTCTATAAACCCAACAAGATGTCGATTATGAAATGTACCATTTGCACAGGGACTCTCCTCGTTTTTCTGCAGCCACCCAGTCCTCTGGAAGGACAGCGATTATTAAAAGTCACAGGTAGTACAAGCAGATTTACATGAATTTAAATGAAATCCAAATACCAATTTATGTCTGGCCGTGTTTTGTCAAATTTCAACACATATCTGTAACAAAATAAGGCATATGAGTTTTGAGCGAACAAGATTTTAGCAAGAAAGGCATGAATTCCAACATAAACATTTAAAATATTAATAAAACATCTTGGACGTCGAGGAATTCTTACCACAGTCAAGTTTTCTTTGGAGCGAAGGACCAGCTGGATTCCTGTCTCCCTGGCTGCTGCGTTGGCCTGCGACATGCAGCAGAAGACGGGACCCAGGGGTGAGACTGGTATAACCAGCAGCTTCGTGTCTCCTGCTTTCTCACTCTGACTCCCGTGCATCCATTTCCCACAAACCTCCAACCGTGCAGTCTCAGAACAGAGGCCTCTGCCTTTGTGAAGCCTGCCTAGGCCTCCCCAAGCATCCGGGCTCTCGCTACCCGAGACAATGTCTGCAAATCGCTACCGCCTTGCTGGAGACACAGGGTGTCACCCACACGTTTGGCCAGGGTGGGAGGTGGGGCACGTGGTAGCTTTGCTGAAGCTTCCAGGTCATGGTCAATATTCAACTCATACCCCAAGCCTTTCTACTCAGCTCCTGGCAGGACTGCTTTTCTTTCTCCATGACTGAGTGCCACTCATACAAGGCTAGGGGAGGCCCCAGACCTGGACCATCCAGCTTCCCCCAGGCTCTCCACAGCCACATGCAGGCGGTGCTAAGGGCTGCCAGGCTGCGGCCACGGAGAAGCAGCCCTCTGACTTGGGGGACCTGCCAAAGCAGACACACCATGGTGGTTCCACCTGGGTCAAAGCTCATTGATGCACACACTTCGGGGGAAGCAGCGGGCCCTGAACGGCGGGAGCCGCCCTCCTTCCCGCTGGACCCCGGGTGGGGGTGTAGAGATCCTGGCGTGTTGTTCTGAAAGCAGGCCTCAAACGTCACATTTAAACGGCAGAATTTTATCTGCCAGGTGCCCTGCGAGGGAGTGTGATCTTCCACGGCAGCGCGGACGCCCACGTCATGACCCCACGGCCGGCCCTGGGGAGGCTGGCCTTCCGGGCATCCCACCTTCAGCACAAGCTCCTCCCAGTTGCCTTTCTTGGGACTCCCAGTAACACAAAATCTTCAGCCAAGTGTGGTTCTGATTCAGCCTCTTTCTTAGCTGGAAGGGGCTCTGACTTCAGCAGGGGTTGGGAGAGCTCCCAGGTCATGAGCTACCCTGACCCACATCATCGTCACTAGAGATTCTCACACTAAGTGTAGTAAGTCGGATAAAGACAAATATCATGTGATCTCACTTCTACGTGAGTCTAAAGAGATGATACAAATGGACTTATTTACAAAGCAGAAACAGACCCACGGACTTAGAAAACAAACTTATGATCACCAAAGGGAAAAGGGGTTGGGGGAAGAGATAAGTTAGGAGGTCGGGATTCACGTAGAGACACTACTGTACTCTATATAAAATAGATCACCAACAAGGACCTACTGCAGAGCACAGGAAACTATACCCAGTATTTTGTAATAATCTATAAGGGAAAAGAATCTGAAAACAAATAGATAAATATAATACCTGTATAACTAAATCACTGTGTTGTACACCTGAAACTAACACATTGTAAATCAACTATATTTCAATTAAAAAAAAAAAAAAGTCACTGCTGTTTGTTCCCAGAGGACGAAGGATTGAAAGGAATTATAGCCATCTTTTGGAAAGTGGGCTGACAGACAAGGTCCTCCAACTCAGGCTACTCAGGTCTGACGGTGTGTTAAAGCCGGGGCATTTCTTCGTACTTATGAGCTCATGTCCCTGGACAGTTTACCTCTGTGACGTGACCTGAGGCAAAGGACCACAGAGTTTCAGGATTTGAGTATAGGATACTTTGCCCCAGTCACACCTGGGCTCTGGTCGCCACATCCCCTGTTACGACAGAGGAGGGAACAGTGAAGGAAATCCAACTCTGTGCTGGAGGCCCCGAAAGCTCGTCCCGTTCTGGAAATCCTTTATGGATTTCCGACATTCAGGAAAGCTCCGGAGCACAGGAACCAGAGAGGGGAGAATTTCCCAGCTTCCCTTGCTCCGGATAGGGAATCCTGAGATGATTCTTGTCTTCCCCTCAGGACCTGCCACCTTCACACCCCTGCAAACAAAAACACCGCCAGTGACACCCGGCATCCCCCTAAAATAAAAATGGGACTGTAGCCACCATTCTTGGACTTTATTTACTGAGCTCTGAGTTTCGGCAACATTATTCTTTAGTCCTTGAGGAAGTAATTCACTCTCGCCCTTAAAACGCTGTTAAGTAGTCGATAATCCATTATTACAGTAAGCCGTTCACTCTCACAGTAATTATCTAATAACCCCTTATAAAAGACCGTGGCTTCCTAATCTGTTTATAATTATCATTTCAATGATCCCACACATTAATGTCTGACCTTCAGCAACTCTGACCTGAACTTAATTAACTCTAATATCAAATCACCGCCACACAAGAAACTAGCCATGACCAGATGAATGAACCCCAGGTACAGTTAATTTCTGGAGCAATTATCTTTCCATGTAGGGAGATTTAAATGATTATCTGCACAATTTCACACAGTTTTATGTAATTCTGCGACATTATAAATTCTGTTTTAAATCATATTTCAAAGGCAGGGCTCCAGAGCCTGGTTTGTCTAGCGTTCTCAAGCTACAACATCACACACTCTCCCTGTGTAATACAAGATGCTTTTTGTGTGATTGTTTTCAATTAGCAACACACAGCAAAAACGTGGTTTGCAAAGTGACACGTTACAGTTAAATGAACAACTATACAGTCAGGTAATCTAGGGGCAAAGACCATCCAGGTAAAATTGTTAAAGGAAATACCCCGTTCCGCAGAAATACTGAAAGTAACTGACAATTTAACAGATGCTGTAAAATGCTAGAAAATTTAAAGTATATGTCAAAATGCATAGTGTGTTTATGAAGTGCTATAGATTAGAAAACATTTACCAGCAAAACCTGGAGGACATGCAGCTAAGGGAAATGTTCGCAGCTAGAATTGAACTTTATTCAAACCCTGAGATGCACACGGGTATTTCTGTGTTAGTAAACATCTAACTTCCCGGTGAAGTTATCGGTATAGCTTCCCGACCTAGAATTCATTTTCACAGATGTCCAGTTGACGCTTAGGGGTAAATAGACACATGGGCAATATTGAGGAAATGTTCTGGGTGTGAACAAGGCCTTGTAGAGAGATGCAGTTACGCAATGTTTGCTCAGCATTGTCTCTGGTGTCAAGAATTAAGGCTAAATCGATCAAAGGGCGAATTTCAACCAGAATTGTCCCCATTTCCTGCTCTTGACACAATTTATCAGGCACATTAAGCCCTCCTGGTCGAAGTTCTTACACCTAACACTTCATCCCAGATACCAAGACGTTTGTCCCAGCCATTCGTCACAGCGAGCAGCCTGATTCGGGAGGTTGATGTGCAAGTAATTTGGGTGGAGGAAGGTGGGTGCCTCCTTAGAGGTGTCCCGATGTGCTGCCGTGACAGATCACCCCACATCGCCAGGAGGGACGTTCACCTACTGACCACATGTTTCTGCTTCTCCTCAGAGATATTATTTGCAGAAATGGAAAGAGATGGACCTACGTTTTATATCAAAGTGCTTAACAGAGGCAGGGTAAGGAGACAGTTTCTTTATAAATAACAAATTACTTGAGTGGTCTAAGTTGATAACTATTTAAAATAGCCGTGTCCTGCAGGTCTGTTGAAGTTAAAATATGCATCTAAAGACAAAAGGTGACTGCACTGAGAATACATTTCCAGTTGCTAACACAAGCTTCATCGGAGCTTCACGGGGATAATGGAAGGAAATCACGGGCACCTCTGATTCGTCGTGGTCGGTCCACACCAACACCCTGGAGGCCAGGGCTGGTGGCCCCCGGTCCAGGACTCTTCTGAGACCCAGATGGATTCAAGCCCAGTAGTGGCCTTGGACAATGACCCTACCAGAACCTCCTCCCAACTTCTACTCTGAGACATCTGTCATCGTGGCAATGACATCTATTGCCTTTAAAATTAAAATATTTTAAATGCACTGAGATAGCAGGTATTGCAAGGGATGAAATCATTAAATAATTTCAAATCTTTAAATGGTCCCTGCTCTGCTCTATGTCCCCCGTGTAAGGAACTGTATCATTTATGCAAAGATCATCACATTCTCCACTCCCTTCTCATCCTTTGGAAACTGCTTGAGGTCTTTGGTGTCCGAGCCTCTTTTTTGCTGCTGAGTTAAAAGTTTAAGGGCCTTTATACCAGTTGCTTCCCTCCTTCAAAGAAAACCCTTGGGCCTACACTCTCTCTTTTTTAATCATTGAAGTTCCTAGAGGTAACTACACAGTTATACGTAGGATTTGACATTCGGTTTTAATTTATTACTATAACTGTTTGATTTAATAAAAGCTTCTGTGATGGTGAAGACAGTCACTTCCTAACATGAAGACCCCGGTCCCACTCACTGACTTTCTGTAAGGCCCAGAGGCAACCAGGCGGAATCACCTCACCCCTGAGGGGGGCCCCTGCTGCCACATCCACATCTATGTTTAGGGACAACATGGCAGCGGGACTTGCTCTGGGCGTGGCCCTGACCCTCCTGTCCTGGCTGGTCCGGGACAAATCTGCCGCCACCGCAGCAGCAATGTCACATGTCCTGGAGGCTGCTTCCTTAGGAAAACTTTCGACCCGAGGAAGTGGGTGGCGCACAGGAGGCGCTTTGCTTCATGTCTGGTACAGAGTAAGATGAGGGAACCAGTGAGCTGCATGGAGGGCCGGTGCACACCTGGGGCAGGCAGTTCCGGCCCACGGGTGTGAACAAAGACAGCATCTCTGGGCCCTGGAACTAGCGTCTAGTCTGGCCAGGCACAGACCACCTGAGAAGAAGACCCTCCCTCCCTCTCCAAGGTCACAGCTGGAGCTCCTTGCATTGGCCGCGCTGCCCCGGGCAGTGGTCAGAGGTCCTGGAGGCGTGAGGACCCACCGTGTGCAACCAGGACCCCCTCCCGGGGGACTCCCTTCTGGTCCATACTAACCTCTGATGTGGCTTTTGCTTTCATTTTTTGGTTCATATTTTTATTTTGGCATCACTGAATTTGCACGTGTAAACACTGCTCAGCAACCCTCAGTGAAAAATGTCTCTATTTAGTAAAACGAACAGCAATAAAATCAACTACGATTGTAGAATTGTCTTTTTGTTTCTTTAGTTTTGTCGTTCCTGAAATTTCGGACTATGTTATTAGGTATATACTAATAAAACTAGCAGACTAAAATATCAGTAAGTGTTTAGATGATTCAAATGATTAGATTATTTACAAAATTGGTAGAATAAACATACTAAACTCAAGAACAACAGGATACACGTGATTTTCTAACACACACAAAATGTTTACCATTTTATAGAACTGAGATATTTAAAAGTACGTATTCTGACCATGGCAGAATTAATCTATAG